AGAAAATCCCTGCCGCGCCGTGGGCTGCTGCCACGCCGTGAAGAAGAAGACTGTCGCGCCGCGACACCGCTACGAAGTCGTCAGAGCTCCCAGGATTTCGCTTTGCCGCGCCGTGAAGCCTTCCGCGCCGCGAAGGGAGGATTTGTCGCGCCGCGCTGCTGCTCCGCGCCATAAAGGACGGTCCTGCCGCGCCCGTGAGCTCCTCCGCGCCGCGACTCTCAGGCTTCTATAAATACGAGCTCGAGAAAAGATCATATTGTTCTTTTACGCACGACAAAAAACACGAAACCCTACCTTCATCTCTTTCATTCTTTTCTTTTACTTTTCTTCAATAATTTTCATCATAGAACAAGGATTTAAGGTCGAATTACATTATTGCTTTGGGATTTTATCGACTTCAATTTCGTGGTTTATCAATCGTAAGATTTTCTCCTAATTTATTCGTTAAGCATGGGTTCTTCGATTGAGATGATCATTATTGTTGGTAATTCGAGCATGAGTAGCTAAATCTTTATGCTAGGGATTAGGGGATCGATGCTTTGAATTTGTTTGTGATTGTCGGACTCAAGATTGTTCAATTTATGCGATTCATGCTTAATTAGGGTTTTCGATTTATGCTTGAATGTTAAGAATTATTGAAGGGTAACACTTCAATTTGCAATTAGTTTGATTGAATTTGATTCGTTCTCGCGTGATATTGTTAACTCTATATCGACTAGTTGATTAACCATCTTCTAGGATTATTTAATCGGCTCTTAGAACCGAAAGGGGAGGAGTCGGTCGAAATAGATTCGCATGAACTAGGCTTGCTCGTAACTGTATTTCCTAGGAGTTAATTGACTCGTTAATTTGCTGTTCTAGATTATTCCCTTGTTACGAATAGTTATTGGGAATGAATGCTTGATCGGGTAGATTATTCGAATTACTTAGCTGAACAATCACTTGCCCGTTAGTTGCATATCGAACCAAAGCGGGAATCCCCGACTCCCTAGCTTCTTAAACCTTATTTATTCTACGTGATCGTCTGTTGATTACTTGCTTTATTTAATTTTCATCCAAACTTTGAATTAGTATGTTAGGATTTTTATTTCTGTTATTTGTGTGTGAATAAACGTGCTCAATATTCCGGCTGACCTTCCTTGTGATACGACCCGGTGTTTGAATCTTTCGATTCTACTCCGGTAAAAATATTTACAACAATGAGCGTTCGACCCGCACGATCTGCTTGCGACTCCCAGCGTTGGAATCAACCGATCTCCATCAAAAGAAATTTACGTCTCAGAGTCTACAATTTTAAGTCGTACGTATTACACGCTAAACCTTAGATCTGTGGCGTATAAGTTTAATTTGTGGAATTAATTCGTGACTTGCACAATACGATGATCTTCACCAATCCCAACAGGTAGGATTGAGAGGAACAACATCAAGAGGAACTTAAGTGTTGCACGAATGAGTTGTCTAGGGACTTCTCTGGCAGTTGCAAGTCGAGTGCAGGCAATTCTTGTAGCAACAAGGTGTTGGAGTATGCTTTGAAGTTGACGTGGAAATCCTTAAGTTGTTGCTTGGTTAAAAACGAAATAGTGGGCAGACTCAACAGGAGGTGTGGCTTTGATTTAGTTTCTAGTATTTTGGTATTATTTGATTTGTGCTATTTGTTTAGGATCGTAGTGCTTGTATGAGTAGTAATTTTCTAACCAAAATGGAATTGACTGTTCTTTCCCTGTAGCCTATCTTCTCCTTCGTGTGCGTTGGAGTTGATAGTTCTTGTACCTAGTTAGGTACTCGGTGTACTTTGGTCTGAGTTTTTCATACAAGTTGTTTGGTTGCCATTTGAAACAAAAAAACAATGAATTGCCAAAAAAAGGACCGTTTCGACATATATTAGAACAAAATTTGAAACATGAACATGAACAATTGCCCAAAAAACCAAGTTGTGCTATTTCTAACACACGGGGTGTAGTACCGTTTCATGGTTAGAAAACATGAAAAGCATAATTAACGCAAGATTAGATGTCCTGAAAACACAAAAGTTTGAGAATAAATGCTGAATTTACCAACACTGGTTTGGGCCTCCCTACATAAGTTACATGTCACACTGATCACCATTCTTATCTAACTACTCTGAATTACTGCAGCTGCAACACCAAAATGCTTCCCAACTAAGGAAGTCTGATAGTAATCTTACCTGTTAAAGTACATGAAAAGAGCATGAGTTTAGACAAATCCTGTTAAATATGTTGTAAAATTTAGAAGGCCCTCAAATTAAGGAGTTTCAATAAAACATATATAGCCCAATAATACATTCATTTAAACCTTAGTGTATTCGTAAAACGAGCATGCTTCACTTAGTGACGAGTTCCTCTAAAAGGCACTTAAAAATGTATGTTCACAGGACCTTTTTGTGTATGGTTGTAAATGGTGGCCTAAATACAATTAACATTAATAAGGGAAAAGTATAAACCAGAAACAACATACAGATTGTGTCTCATCTTTTGTCTCATAATCACTTATTTTCTATTCTTTTCTTTTATGTTCTGAATGCTCTGGTTTAACAAATACATATAGCTTTATTGATATGGTTAGCACAATTATTTGCAAAATTTGGTGCTTCCTAGGTTATCCCCAAATCAACAAAATATCGAGCCATACAAATTACCTTGCCAATGATCAACTCTGTTCATTTTTTGCCATTGGCGGCATTGCCAGAATGATCAACTCTTATGATGAAGACCTGGAATATATAAGACCATATTAATAAACTGTTACTTAAATGTGCAATTCAAATTGAGCAAAGAGTTCAGGAAAACGCAATGTTTGAGACATACTCGAAACACGGATGGTTTGATCAACTGGAAAACAAGAGCATCGCCATCCACCAAGTTGTGATCAATGGAGAACTTTTTCCAGCCACCGCTAAGCCCAGTTTTACGAGCCAAATAGATAACCGGCCACTCGTCCCCATGCTCGTCTACCAATTGGATCACTCCATCATTCTTAGGGAGTATCCTCTTGCAGCAAGGCATAGAAAGTCCCTGCATTTTTAGAATCATATATAAATATTGACAACTTTTTTTTTTTTTTTTTTTTTTCATTGTCTCTCTTCATTCAAGTTCTCGCTAGTCACAATAACATATAAAATGATAAGCCCTTGCTCACCAGCCAAAAACCCCCGCTAACGTGGGATGGGAGCATGGATCTCACAAAGGTCGGGTGGTCTGACCCGAGACTTGATTCCAACTTCTCTGCTTTTCTCATTGCACGTTCCCTTGCTTCATCCGAAGCATCAGAGCCGGTCCTGTATAATTTTGGACCCTGGGCCGAATATAAAAGAAACGCCCCCAATCTACAATGAGAAAATTACACCATTTATATATATATTTATATATATTTTTAACTTTATGATTTTGTTTATTTTTAATTGTAAATGAACCAACTTTCACTATGGCCTTGTTTTGCGATCAGCGAATAGCGGATAGCGGATAGCGAATTGTATCAGCGGATAGCGAATTGTATCAGTTGATTTGACTAGCGGATTGCATTAGCGGTTTTTAAATAAGTATTTGGTAAATAGCTGAAAGCTTATAGTTGTTTGACATTGCAAAATGACCAATAAGGACATTTTATTATTTAGGGTGTATTTTTTTAATAATAATATATCAAAACATTTAATAATTTTTTAGTTGGTAATTTATAAATATATTATATTTTTTTAAATTTACGAACACTTGATGAAGAAGTTATGAATTTTACACTTTTCTAGATAAATTAATCATATGGATGACATATTATTATTTATCAGCACCATAAACCAATGTAGATTGTAAAATAAATAATAAAAATTAAAAAGTTTCAAGTAATTTATTTTTTTGTGAATCCTCTATCCCGCTGCTCTGATGAGCTTTTTCTAAATTAGAGTTTTGGGCCCAAAAAACTTATTAAATAAGCTATTTACCAAACAGGCTCAATAGCGGATTTGACGGGTCAAACCTCTCAATTAAGTCCAATCCGCTAATTTATCTTCAATCAGCTATCTACCAAACGTGGCCTATATATAAATGATTGTGTCTTTTTAATATGTTTCTAAGTATATAACTGACTTTTTTTTAAAAATACATTTATGTATGATTTCAATTTGAATTCCGTAATTTTACTACAAAAAAAATCAAAGTGTTCAAATGTAGAAAATTCATCCACATTCCATCCCCAAAGTCAGCAAGTTAAGGTCCAAAAAAATAAAAAACAATGCTTACAATCCAAATTCAATCTCCTAAAATCTTAAAAATTAGAAAAATCCGTCACCTATTAACAAAATAATAATAATAATATGTATGTGGAATCATTAATTGAAAATGAATATAAATGAAAATTGAAACCAGACTCGATTTTGGGTACTCCTTGAAAGTAACTAGAGTTGGTGATTTAAGCTATTAAAAAAATAGACCAGAGGAGAACGATGTCCGAAATGAACAAAATAATAATTTATTATTATTATTAGAAATTAAATTGAATGAAAGAGAGAAAAAAAGTCTTTATATGTCAAAAACCAAGTGTTAATAGAAAAGACCATTTCAATTAAACTATGGAGTGAGTTCGACTAATTGGAGCCATTTAATTAGCCTTGTTCAAATCAATTACAAGTTCTGTTTGTGTCCATTGAATTGGGCCCATTGTAGCCAGTGAACTAATCTTGTCCAAGAAAATTACAAGTTGATTTGTCTGAATTGAATTGGGCCTAGTAATAGTAATTTTTTACATTAAATATATACTCCATTCCAAAATAATTATCGTTTTATCAAATTAGTAAATTCTAAAATAAGTGTCATTTTTAGATTTCAATGCATTTTTGGACAAAAAAATTCAAACATACCATCAATAGAAATAATATTATTGGGGATCATTATTTTAATACGGTTGGTTGAGGATATTCTAGTAATTTAAGTACCATATTTATGTGTTTCTTAAACTGTGTGCAAATTCTAGAATGACACTTATTTTGGAACGGAGGGAGTATATAGTAATTTGCTTATACCACACAAATGAGGCCATATTTTATAAATGTGCCCTGGGCCATCGTCCAGCTTGCCCTGGCCCAGGGCCGGGACTGCGAATCATACACCCGATTCGAAAAATCCCTCGGCCTTTGAGTTACTCTATTCAGGTTGCAAATCACCACAATTAGAAATGCATATATGTATTATAACATTCAATAGCTTTAAAAATCAAATCTCTCTCTCTCTCTAAAACGCTCTCAGAAAACCTAAATCCCCAATTCGGCTGAGTCGCCTGCTCTTCAGCGGGGCCTACGCGCCGCCGCGCTTCCACCATCGCTGGCAAGTGCGTGCTTCTCTCGGCCTGCCTTTGTTTCGGAGTCCTCAGAGCCGTGGGTTTCCGTCATCGGCTCTAGTTGCGGCTCGGTCTGTGGGGTGCGATCGAGGTGAAGGTTGGGCTGGGGGACGGCTTTTTCGGCTAGGCACCGGCCAGAGGTCTGCGTCGAGGTTAGTTCCTCTTCTCTCCCTCTTTTCCGTCTCCCTGGTGTTGGGAATGGGCTCCTGCGGGTGGGTTTTTGAGCCTCGGTGGCCGGCGGCCAAGATTGCGGGTGGTTGATGGTTTCGGTCATGGAGCCGTTGGTGTTCTGCACCCAAGGCTCTCCGTCGTTCCTAGGGTTGGGAGATGGCTCTGCCGGTGATTGTTGGTTCGTGGCTACGGTGGTTGTAAGTTCTTGTTATCGGTAGGAGTGGGGAGGAGAGTTTGGGCTGATTTTGATGTTGTAGGCTGTGAGTGGTCATCCCAACTGCGGGTTTGGGGGATTGGGTCTTGTTATGCCTTTGCTGTAGTTTCAGGCTTACTGCTCCGAATCGGGCCTCAGTATGGGGTGGCGGCTTTGGGTGGTTGGTGGCGTGGTGGATTGCGGTGTTGCTTGGCAACTGGAGAGGAGGACTTTAATCTAGTAGTTTGTTTATGTTTGTTTGAGTTTGTTGTGTTCCTGTGTTGTTTGTTGGTATGTTTTTTGTTGTTGTGTTTTGTCGTGTTATTCTCCTTTGGGGAGTCTGTGTATTCTCCTTTAGGGAGTTTGTGTATTCTCCCGTGGGGAGCTTGTATATTCTCCTGTGGGGAGTTTTTATTTTCTCTTTTCGTCTTGTGTGTGTTGTGGTGTATAGGCTGCTTTGGCAGTCCTCCTATTCCGACTATTGAGTCGGTTGTAATTATGTGTTTTTATTTAATGAATCTATCGTTTTGGAAAAAAAAAATTGTAGTGTTTGAACCAATGTGAAGACCATACCTTCGAGGAATCTGCACGCGCTTGTAAACCTTGACCTGTGAAGATTGGTTTTTTTATATACATATCAATAGAAAAGGCTCAGAAAATTGGGTTTTTCTTTATTTGCCAAAATTCTTTTGTTTTTTTTTTTTTTTTTTTTTTT